TGATATAATTACCTAATAAATATGCTTGGGGATGCTGAATGCAAATTTGCAGGGTTGCTCTGAAGAGGAACTGATGTTTTCATGGCTGTGAGCTGGTTAAAAGATCAAAGACTATAAATCTATCAGACTCTGAAATGCAAGTCACCTGCCATCATGTTGAAGAGAACAAACCTTGCATTAACACATTGGTGCCAAAGACTCAAATTAGGTTGAGCAGGCTGAAAAGGAAAGGCCAAAGACAACATATTTATCATTTATTTAGAGTTGTTGCCTTCCCAATTTAGTCAAGACAATAGGATGGGAGTCTATTAGTCAAGAATAATTTCTCCCTAAATTTGTCAAGTCACCTATCAATAACTGTTGGGGACAACTGATGAATAGAATAGAATGCTGAAAATACAATCATCTAGGTATTAAACTGTAAAGAAAGGCTGTATTTTATACTAAAGTATTATCCATTTCCAAAATGCCATGAAATATAGAGATAGGATTTTTTTTTAAAAAAAGTTCCTTCTGTATTTTATTGAATCATTTAATATAGCTAAAAGCAATCTCTGTAACTATGAATGTACATCTACTTATATAATTCTTTAAAGATATCTTTACAAGCTGGAAGCATATTTCACTTTTATAGTTAAGACATCTACATATAGTTTCTCAATTGCCTCCACACAGTATATGATCCTTTAAAATCTAGCTGCTATTTCTTTTTGTTCCAGCCATGGCTCTGGGATAAGATGCTTTCTAAGGAACTGGAATACATCTGCAGTGTAATCCCCCTCTATGTTAACATGCATGCCAAGAAGAAATCCCAATTCATTCTTACTGGTTTGTTTATGCATATCGCTATTTAGGACCCAAAGATCAATAATTTTAGAGGTCTGTGTACCACTGAGTGATTTTCCCTCTACCAGAGTATATGCCATGATCTTAGCTCCAGCTGAACCTACACTATACCAAACAGAGTGGGAGTCTCAGAAGCATCTTCATTGCTTGGAAATCAGGGATCCATCCATTCAGCTCAATTGGCTAGAGAGGAGAGCACAATGCTGAGAGGCAATGTTTAAATTTGCTAAGCTAAAGTTGCTTAGCGATTCTTCTGGGAAATATATGTTGATTTTTAAGGGCACGTAGGATGCAGACAACTAGAACCCATGCAGGAGACATGAAAAATACTGTAGTGCCAATGCAAAGTGCATTCTTCTATGATCAATAGTTACTTAAGAATGGAGATAATTTGGCAATCATTCAGCCTCTTCCTTAAATAACCCTGTTTTACTTGTGGATAAACACTGTTTTTATGGTAAACTCTAGATAAATGAAATGAATAGTTATAGTTCTGTACATATTGATATGGTCACCTTGGTTAAAACTTCAATATGATGTCGAGCAGTGTGTTTCTGGAGATTCTCAATCATCCAAATCATGGCTGTTCCAAAAGTGTTTTTCAAAAGGTAACCGGAATTTCTTGTTTTTTCCCCCGAAAAACGTTTTGCTTCTCATCCAAGAAGCAAATGTTTTCAAAGAAAAAAACTCAAGGAAGTCTAATTGCTTTTTGAAAAGCACCTTTGTTGAACAATATCAGCCTTATCAAATATTTGCAGTTTATTTATAAGTATAGGGTTTTCTGCCTGAGCAGGGGATTGGACTAGATGATGTCCAAGGTCCCTTCCAACTTTATTATATTATTATTATTATTATTGATAATCACACAGTCAGCCATATTTGGCATTTTTGTCTATCTATCGAATGCTTACCAAGGACCTGGGATAGGCAAATGTGGATGTTTGATGGTATTACAGATATCATCCCAGGATGGAAGCAGTTCCTAGTAAGGTCGCCTTTTGCAATTGACTAATGGCGAATTTGTCAATGCCAGTGGTGTTCAAATGGTGCTCCAGTTGTTTTGGGATTGCACCCAAGGCGCCTATCATTATTGGTACTACCCTTGCTTGCTTTTGCCACAGTCTTTCTATTATTATTATTATTATTATTATTATTATTATTATTATTATTATTATTATTATTATATTATTATTATTATTATTATTATTACTATTATTTAGGGGTTATGGGGGCTTCGTCCTTGTCCCCCAAAGTCCAGCCTTCATTGCCTGGCTGGGTAGGTTTTTCTGCTGTTTTGCTGGCACTCACACACGAATCACTGACTTTAACACTGATGTACCAATATACAAATAAGATGCAAAATTAATTAGTTCTTTCATTATTACCCATATCCCAGCACATCACTGCAGTACTGCCTGCATACTTCCCATGATTTTGATACATTTTCATTCTTTTTATAGTTTATAGTTCTGGAATAGAGAAGAAAACCATTCCTGGAAACAGGCATTTTTGCTCTCAACAAACCGTAAACAAATCGGAGAATTCTCTTTTTGAGCAATTGATTCTTTGTTTCCTTCCTACGGAAGGAATTTATGTCTTTATGTCTTTTATTGCTGCACTGATATAAAAAAAAATCTAACTGCAGTTTTTTTAGTCATCTGATAAACCATTTTATTCATAAGTGAACAGGCAACTAGCAAAATATTTACTGTATATATAATTTTTAGAGGAAATGATCATCCACTTTTTAAAAAAAACAAGTTGTTCAAATTTGCAAAGAGAAAAACAATCTTTGATTTTTTTTCCCCTTACCCTGACCAATTTCTACTTATAAAGAGGTTATCTTGAAGTCATCTCTGAGAATTTTAGCATTAGCACGGTTGGAATAAAAAGTGGAAGATTAATGGAGGAGCTGTCACAAGTCAAGGTAAAAATCTTTTCATGTCCAAGGAAGTGTGAAACCCTGCTATTCTGCATCAACAGATGAAAGGAAACCACAGTTAACAATATTACTAGATCTGTTATAGACTAAGTGCTACTGGTGAACAGTAAAACACAGTGCTAGATTTAGCACTTTGCCCTTCAGGAAACAAATACTTTGTATTTCTATCACTGTTTAAATGAGGAGGCAGCTATTATCTGTTAGTTTTATTCAAGATTTCCTTTGTTGTTGAGCACCAAAATTTACAGCTTAAAATCATGGTCCTATACAATAAAACAAAACAAAAAAAAAATCATAGGCATTTAACAATTGATATTTTTCCCCCTAGGTTTATATTTCTATCCAAACAAAACTTGAGTTAAACTGGGGTAAGAAATTCATTGAGAAGTTTTCTTGGCATGTTAATAAAATATTTGTTATTTTGCACTCCTGCTTTCTAAGATTAATTCTTCTGCAAAGTTTTCTATTTTGGGTAAAAAGGTGCACAGCATTTTTTATAATGTATACAATTACAAAGAAGGATATGTTATTTAGCATATATCTAACTGTACGTAATATAGCTATGAATTGCTAAGGAACATGGATGATGTAACATATTTAAATACAAAGTTGAGCCAACTGTTTGCATATTTACGACAACTGATGTAGCTTTAGGTTGAAATATATGTGTCAAATTCTTTTTTTTTTGAAGATATATTTTAATAATTTCAATAACAGTAACCACTGGAAAATATTTTGCAGTCTAATGTGCACTACAAATACCTTGACAGATTTATGAAATCTACATTTATCTCTTGCTATATTGATAAATATTTGGCTGTACAAATTTAGCCTATAGAAATGGTTGGGATGACACGGGGTTTATTCATATTAATCTTTCCAATTTAAAAAGAAGATTCTTTTTTTGCAAGGGAGTATTGTATTCCTCATGAAATTATTACTGGAACTTGAAACAATATTACACAGCCTTAGGCTAATTGCTTTAATGAAAATTAAGGTCATATTTATGTTCGCACACACTAAAATCCATCGATTTTTATGGGGCTTCATCCCAAAATGATCTTCTAAAATGTTACCAGCATCCTAGATATATTTTCTAATTCCAAGAATCCCATCTTCGAAAGAGGTTTCTAGACTACAAAAGTCACACCTTTTTGAACACCTTGATGATTTGCTTGTTATAAGGTTGGCCTGTCTGAGATTCAAACGATAAGATCAACACTACCTTAACTCTGTTATCTAAACAGGGTCATAAATGCAATGTTTTCTTTCCAAGGCACTTGTGGTCCTATTCTAAAATTTTGGCAATAAAAACACTTTAAACACATTAAATTGGATCTTTTGCTGATATGATAAGCTATGACAGTGGTGGCGAACCTATGGCACGCGTGCCAGAGGCGGCACTCAGAGCCCTCTCTGTGGACACACAGGCCATGTCCCGGAGATGGCAACTGTCCCTATTCAACCAGCTAACTTGCTGAGGTCCCATGTGGCTGGATACATCCCAGCACCCATGCACTCGCTGGCCTCTGTGTATGGGGGCCAATGGTGTCAGGCAACAGCTGTCCCAGCCCAACTTGCATTGCCCTGCGACAATGGTATCCCCACCCTGCCTCGACTCGCCTCACCCCACAGGATGAGCCTCCTGCCCACCGCCCCATCTGCCATAGACCCCCTGATCTCCCCCAACCCTGCCCAGCCCCCACGTGCATCCCTCCCCACGAGCAACATCGAGATGATCATGCCCGCCTTGGCCACACCCACCCAGTCTGCCATGACCACCACAGCCATGCCCACCGAGTGGGCCACACCCACCTGGCACCTGGCGATAAATAAGTGGGTTTGGGGTTGCAATTTGGTCACTCGGTCTCTAAAAGGTTCGCCATCACTGAGCTATGAAAAACAAATATATATATAGTGAAAACAAAATATGATCACCAGGAAAAGTTAAAACATTAAAAGTTTTAATATAAAACAAACGTTTTAAATAAAAACATTAAAAGTTTTAAAAATGGATCTATTACACGATCCAGGAGTCGAGCGCAGGCGTTAACTTACATATAAATGTTTACTCCCATTGATTTATGCACGCCCTGATGAAGTTGGCAGGAGCTAACGAAAGGTAGGTTGCTAATTTTTAAAACTTTTAATTTTTTTATTTAAAACTTTTGTTTTATATTAAAACTTTTAATGTTTTAACTTTTCCTGGTGATCATATTTTGTTCTCACTATGTACACACCCAGGAATCATGCTTCTATTTTTAATATTCATATGTATGTATGTATGTATGTATGTATGTATGTATATGATGCTTATATGTCAGTGTTGTGCCTGCCTGGACAAGCTCCTGCAGTTTTCTTGCTAACGTTTGTGGAAGTGGTTTGCCCTTTCCTCCTTCCTAGGACTAAGAGGTGGCTTAGGGCCTAAGGCAAGACTAGAACTCCTGATCTCCTAGTTTCTAGCCTGTTTCTTTAAAAAATAAACCCCAAGACTTAGATACAGTCCATCTAAACAACTACACCTTCTAAGAGTGTCAAATAGCACTTGATTTCCAACAGTGTATAACATTTGTAATTTTAAGAGGAAGAATTCTATTTAGTATGGCAAGAATAGATCTGGACACAAAATGTTTTATGAAGGAAAATGAACATTTAGAATGGGATATACTGACTCCTGCATTGTTGTATCATTGTAATTTGCAAACCTGTAGGATAAGCAGTAGGGAACAGATTTTATCTCCTTCTTCCCACTTCAGGCTAACACATGTTACAACTAAATAGAAAAAAGTTTCTCTACCGTATCTATTTTTTCCAATGTTTTGTACCGCAGGGAAGTAGATTCTTGAGTCATGCCATGTCATATTGCAGGGATACACTTGCATTATTTTAGAAAAATCTTATGAATTTGGCATTAGCTTTGTGAACCTGGGACATAATTCAGCTATACGCGAGTACTTTCTCTCTCATGCTTTCAGTAAAAAAGAATTCAGTGAGAATATTTTCAACCATTTATCCAATGAACTGAGTAGAAATTCAAAATGGCTCAAATAATTTTGCAATTGGTTAGGATTGTCATATTTAGCCATGGTTTGTCTTAACCATGATTTGTAGAACAGACTGACAAAGAGCTACACTCACAGGCTAAGCTGAATATAATATTTTACAAACCACAGTGGCTGGCTTTATAGATTGCATTAAATCAAGACAAATTAGATGATGACATAGTACAACGTGCAAAATCAGATTCTGCATCTTTTTAATAATTTATGTGCTTATATATTGTGAAAAATAAATATGTAGATTAGACTGTCACTTGCATTTACAATTCCACTGCAAGAAACCACAACATTTTCACCCTTTTCATGAATCAACAGTCGCCAAAGAGATGCATTTCTTCCAATTCTGTGTTATGTTAGAAAATTGGTATGATTTGCACCTTGATCTGATCACCATCAATATTAGGCATTGCACTATGTGCCAAATCTATTCGCTCAAGTCCTGTCTCTTGACCAACAACAGGTCTCTAGAACGGCCATTGGGGGCCGTTCCAGCCTGAAGTAAAAGGCCACGATTTGAACTGGGTACTTTTGGCATGGAAAGCATGCATTTTACCAGTAAAAACAGAGCTTATCTATAAAAGACAGAAAGTCGATCTAAGTAAGATTAGAAATAATATAGTACCGGGAATCAGGGAAAACCACTAACGTTACAAATACTGTATTTAAAGAGAAGGCATTCTTAAATACAACTATTTGCAGGGACAAACTCCCCTTGATTGGACTAACTCATTAAATATTGTTGCAGAATATTTGTGTCTAATTAATTCATTTAAACTACTACTATTTAGAAGTACTGCATATTTTTAAAAAGGCTATATGAAAGTCTATTTAAAAACTGGATTACATATGGTTACAAATGAAAATCATTATGATTCTAAGACCATGTGATCCCAAATTAGAAATCTGGGCAAAAGAGTAAGCGAAAAGCAGACAAAGTACTAGGTTGTAGCAGTCCTCTCTAAGTTAGATTTCTAATTCTAAAGGTATCTTACAAGCGTAATTCTAAATTGACATTTTTGACCCCATTTTACCATTTCGTAATTCTGGTACTTAAACTCTGTTGCACATGTAGAGATTGATTCCAAGACTGGATCTAGAGGACTATAACTTGGACCTGAAAATCTGTAGCAAAATTGTACAAAAACATATACTAACCAATCTGCATGTGTAAAAATGTCAGCCGCTTTGCCACTGCCATTGATTAGCAAGTTGTTCCATATTTTATACTCTGCAAAAAAGCCAACATTATTATGTATTTATTCTTGAGTTCATGCTATTGTGGTGTGACTGATGCAACCACTCAAGCAAATTATTTAGGAAGACTTCAGCCCAACTCACGGCAGGTCGAAATTAGAGCAAGTCACTACAGAAAAGTTGCTTGAAGAACTTAATTTGCCAGTCATTTCATTTCAGACACAAGCCCTCTTTCAAACTTCTACCACTCACAATTATGGCGCTTATTAATTTAGAGGACATTTAAAACGTATCAAGACATTTGAGATGTTTGCAGATGAAGACATCAGGGAGATGGGAGCAGGAAGTTCTCAACTGCTCTTCAATCTGTGCTTTAGCCTTTCCGACAGAGGCAGTGGACTCTCAAGCCACATGTCCAAATCGCTTCTGGTCTCCTGAAGACAAGGATCGAATCCACATTTGGAGAGACTTGGAGACCTGCAGAGCGGTACAGGCAGACGTTCTTCTGTTGATAAATCAGTGTTGAGTAATTTAAGGGCCTGCTCATCTTTCCCTTCTGCTTTTGGCTGAATTTCAAATGCCAATTTCTTGTTGTCCCTTTTGCCATTGCACTTGTCCTTCAGCTGAACCATATGACTCTTCCTTTGCTGTTTTGGGATCCTGTGACCCTTCCACCTGCCTTCCACATTTTCACTATCGCTGTCTTCAGCATGATAACTATTTTGGCACACACTCTTCTTCAGGGAGCTTTTCATGATCCTTGGCACAGCTTTTTTCCCAGTCTGACAGTTATCTAGGACTTTATTTGACCTAGATGGCAAAATGGGCTGTTTGTTTTCTAAGCAACTCACTTTTAGCGTTTCAGTGCACAACCTCAAAGAACTTCCTGAATCTAGGACTTTATCTGCTGCAGTTCGTGGGTTCTCAGAACTTTGGAGATCTTCTTTATAGTTCTCCAAGCTTAGCCCCTGCAGATGTTTTTCTAGTAACATCACATTTTCAATTTCCTGAATGCTGTTAGGAAGAGACGAAAATTCTTCTCCAGGTTTGGAAGTTCTCTTTATTTGTTCTTGCAGTTGTATGGTGTTTAACAAAGTCACGTTTTTAGCTTTGGGGAAAGCTTCTAAACTTTCCATCGTGGCTCGATCTTTTAAAGACAAATCATACTTGTCTTTAGGAAAGTCTGTATTTGAAACAGAGTAATCTACACCAGTGACCTGACTGGGATCATGTTGTGCAGAATCTGAATGCTGTGTGAGGATATTGGCTGCTTTACTGTATGGTGGACAGCACAGCTTTAAAGAATTGTTGCCCAGGCCAGACTCAGATTCTGAATACCAAGGAAGATTAACATTCCTTGGAGAAATGCTGAAGGATGTCCCTTCCCAGTCAATGCCACTCAGCTGCAGATCGATATTTGCGGAAGAAGCCATCGGCTCCTTCACAAATAATTCTGTTGGTGAGATTAAAGAATTAGAAGGTTTATATTCATTTTCTGTATTCTGTGAAGCAAAAAAGAAGTTGCTTGGCTCTCCTAATGCAGTAGAAAAATCTGCAGAGCCTGATAAACACAGAGATTCACAGCTCTTTTTTGGAAATTTTTGCATATCAAAAACAAGCCCCAAATCAGATTTTGAACCTTGGCTGAGAATATTTTCACCCGCAGGTTGCCAGGTCAGGTCAGAAAAAGAGCCTTCTCCTTTGCTGTCCCCTGCTAAGCATTCTTTCTCTTTACTTTTTTTCTTACCTAAAGCAGCAAAAATAAATAAATAAATAAAAAAACAAGAACATCTTGTTAAAAACAATTTTTCAAAATTCGAGATGAAGTTAAAGAAGCAGCGTGGTTTTGATTTTGTAATTAGGCAATTGTAAGCTAAATGGTTTCAATCTTATTAGGGCGCAGAATATTCTATAGAATAACTGGTAATTTGACAAGCATACCATGACTACTTAAGATAGAAAACATAGTAAAACAAAACATGCAATGTTTTCAGCTTACTTTTCTTTTTTTCTCTGCCAATTTTCAACTTCTCCATTTGATACAAAGCGACCACTTCAGGATAGGCAGCCTCAAATAGAGTTGACTCTTCTATTGTTATTAGAAAGGGATCTGCAGGCTGATCCTCAGTTGCAGCAGAGTAATGATCTGGAACAATGAAGCAGAGAAACATACTTTTACTAGATAATTACAGATTATTCCCTCAATTACTATGCTCTTTCATACTCACCCCTTTAGAAAAAGGAACATATAAAATAACTTTGGGGTTGGAATCTGTATCCTGCAGAACCAGTTGAAGCTCCCATGCCTAACCCTTACTGCAGACTCTCCTTCTCAATTTGCACACAACCCACAAATACCTGTTCCTCTGTTTTGACAAATTCTTCACACAGTCGTATTTGTGCACCTTACCTACAGTATGATGGAAGTCTGATTTCACCTTATGAGAAATTGTAATGTAACTGTTCAGCGTACAGGGCATGCAATGTACATCCGGAAGACCGAGTAAAAGAAATTTTCATTTTAAAACTATCCTTTTCCATTCGCTATATGAAATTTTCATATAAAAAGTCGAATCAGTCATTCATGGTCAGCTGGCAGATGCTCTCAAGGATTTTAGAAGGAAAAATTCCCAGTTCTGTCTGAAGATATTTAGGACTGAACCTGGGGTTACTAAGCTACAGAAACTTTGTACCAAGAAAGGGGCAAAGCCAGAATGCCTGCATGAATTTAATTTCAAAGCAATAATTGTATGGAGAACACAGATTCCCAAGTCTGACATTATTCTGTTTTTTTAAATTATAGTTTCATTTATTATTTACACGTTGTTAAGCAGTTCTTGTGTATTTGCTTATTTCTATCCCATCTTTTTTATTTTAACAAAGAACTCAAAGCAGCGAACATATTAAAAATACACTTTCCTCCTCCTCATTTTGCCAGAACAATTTACTCTGTGAAATGAGTTATGCTGAGTGTGTGTGACTGGCCCAAAGTCACACAGCTGCCTTTCATGGCTAAGGCAGGTACTTGAATTCACAGGCTCTTGCTTGGTGCCTTAACCACTAGATCAAATTGGCTCTCATATATACAGGTAGTCCTGGACTTACGACCACAATTAAGCCCAAAATTTATGCTGCTAAGTGAGACGTTTGTTAAGTGAATTTTACCCCCTTTTATGACCTTTCTTGCTACAGTTAAGTGAATCACTGCAGTTGTTAAGTTAGTAACATGGTTGTTAAATGAATCTGGCTTCCCCATTGACTTTGCTTGTCAGAAGGTTGCAAAAGGGGATCACATGACCCTGGGACATTGTAATATGCATCAGATGGCAAGCATCCAAATTTTGATCACCTGACTGTGGGGATGCTGCAACAGTTGTAAGCGTGAAAAATGGCGATAAGTCACTTCCTTCAGCGATGTTGTAACTTTAAATGGTCTCTAAACAAATGATTGTAAGTCCAGGACTACCGGTACTATACATGAAGAAGTATTATATCTCTAATTCTCAACATGCCCACCTCTTAAGAGACTGCTTGTTCCTGTTTTAAATTGCCCTGGAAAGTACCCTCCTAGTATGCCCAGTAATGAGTACTAACCTGGCTTTTGCCATGCAATTTCAAAACAGGGAATTCCATTTCTAATCCGTGTCTTGATTATCCTGTAGAAACAAAAGTTAAGAAAATCCTAGTATTTTAAAGACGATGTGGAAAAGTGAAGTCAGACGTTTAAGAACTAAGAAGCCACCATGTCTGATCATCCTGCAGATAAGGGCTGTTTCCATGGTTCTTTAACATTTTCTGGCTATTCCCATGAGCTGGAGTACTGTGTGGGAAAAAACATGTACCATTTCTCTTTGTCTCCTGATCAACCCTCTCTCATAAGCATGATGACTGTATGGCTGTAGCAAGGTATGTTACCAAGCATGAGAGAGCATCATAGAGAAAAGGTTCCCCTATGCCTGGTTTGTGTAGGATGACCTTAGAAACAGGGCGGCAATGCGATTATTATCTTTGCATTATTCAGTGTTGATTACTTAAAACATGACTACCACTAACTCGCCCGTCCTTCCACTGCAAGTGTCACTTAAGAGTACCTCAGATCAGAGTTCCACAGGGAATGGATGATAGCCACAACCCACACATTCAGGATGATTATCTATATTAGTTCACATGGCCAAGCAGGATAAATATGAGTCGCGCTCTATGTTTCCTTACATAGAAAGAGCCGTGGTGGCGCAGTGGGTTAGAATGTAGTACAGGCTGACTCTGCCGACTGCCAGTAGTTCAAGGCTGACTCAGCTTTCCATCCTCCTGACGTCATATGAAGACCCAGACTTTGGGGGGCAATATGCTGCTTAAAGAGGGCTGTACAGCACTGTGAAGCGGTATGTAAGTCGAAGTGCTATTGCTATTGCTAAATCTGCCTTCTTCAGCTTTTCATCCTCCTGACTTGTCGTATGAGGACCCAGATTGTTGGCGTAATGTGCTAACTCTGTAAACCGCTTAGAGAGGGCTGTAAAGCACTGTGAAGCGGTATGTAAGTCTAAGTGCTATTGCTGTTACTATTGCTATCTGAAGAGCTTCTTTGAGATCCCTCTAGACGTACTTTCCGGCTCAGTCTATCTCGCTGTTGGGATCACTGCGGACATCAACCTTTATCTTGCTGTTCTTTAGCAGTCTTTGGAAAATGGGCCAGAATCCAAAAACTCATGCTGATACTGTAGAATTTCTAATCTTTGAACTGTGTACGATAATCCTCTGTGGTTTCAAAAGCTGTTTTGAATTGTGGAATATTTTTTTTCTCTTGAATCTATGTAATGTATTTCAACAGACTTAAAACAGACACACCGGGGACTCTTAGCTATATCAACAGCATGTTAACTCCACAGGTGGCATTCCTGGACTAATGCAACAACCAACACCAAAGGGAGAGATGGCTTTAAGAACTAATTATAGAACTAATTACCTCACTGGCTGTGTTCAAAGCACAGTTAAACAGACATCTGTCAAGGTGCTTTCATTTGGACTCCTGCCCTGATCAGCAGGTTGATGGCCTACATCAGTGTTTCCCAAACTTGACAATTTTAAGGCATGAGGACTTCAACTCCCAGAATTCCACAGCCAGCAACGCTGGCTGTGGAATTCTGGGAGTTGAAGTCCACATACCTTAAAATTGTCAAGTTTGGGAAACACTGGCCTACATAATTCCTTCGAATGTTCAATGTTTGTTACTGAAAAATGCAGAATCAGGAGGCACAGAACAAAAATGTTTTCCACTTCCAGGGACAGATATAAAGCAAAACAAAGGGTGAAATCTAATTAAATTATAAATTGGGTTACCGCAAGGCCTGCAGATGCTTTGGATCAGTATAACCAGACTTCTTTCTGTTCATGTCATAGTAAGTCAGAAGACTATACAATTTCTCACAGGCATACTGCTCGGTCCAGTTCATTTTCTTGACAGCAAACCTCTATTTGAAACATGTTGGGAAATTACAAATACAGCACAGATGAAAATATCTACTGAACAGCAGCAAAACTGATTCTCCCCAAAGAGTTGACGCATTTAGTTTGAAATGTCACGAACTTTTAAAAAATGTCATAAGGACAGAACAGTCACCTTAAAGTAATTTCTAAACCAAGTACGCATAGAATACAAAGCAGGGGAAAACAAGAGGGCTGTCTGAAGACAACCAGACTGTAAAATCCATTGAAGTGCTGTTCCCAAACTTGTGCCCTTTATATTGGTCACAACAGTCAATGAAGGTAAGAATGAGAGCAGCCCAACATCAGGAAATCTCAGTTGGAGGAAAGCTATTATCTGCACTGGAGAGCTTTCAGGCTGGCTGAAAACTTTGTCTTCTAACCTTCATTCTATTCAGGTTAGGCTAAAAACTGGTGGCATCCAGAGCCCTTATCCATACATACATACATACATATTTAGATTTTTGCTGACAAAGAGTTAAAGGAAGACTAGTATAGCTATTAAGTTATAAGTAATCATAACAGTAGACCAGGTGCTCTATTAGACACGTACTATGTATCCTCCTTGGTTTCAGCTGACAGAAGTGAGGAGAACCTGTGGCCTAGATGTTAATACAGCTGCCTAACATGCAAGCTACCCAGGTTCAAATCTCGGAAGGGTATGGCTAGCTAATGAGAGCCAAATAGCTCAAAATAGCTATACTATCTCCTTTAACTCTTTGTCAGCAAAAATCTAAATTTATAGTTTATCGCAGTAGCGATTTGAAACCTGCAAAACACGCCTAGATTGGGGCTGAAAGGCAAAAGCAATCATAACAGTAGACCGGGTGCTCTATTAGACACTTACTATATATATATGTGTGTGTGTGTGTGTATAGGTCTTTGGTTATTCGGGTTTTCTCCCGCGTCAAATTGGAAGTGTCTTGGCGACATTTCAACGAAGTCCCATTCGCCATCTTCAGGCTGGTGTGTTCGGCTTCTTGCTTTTAGGAGCAAGAAGCTGAACACACCAGCCTGAAGATGACGAATGGGACTTCGTCGAAACGTCGCCAAGACACTTCCAATTTGACGCGGGAGAAAACCCAAATAAACAAAGACCTACATACAAACACCCGCGAAAACCTCAGAAAACAAATATGTGTGTGTGTGTGTATATATGTATACATATATGTATATATAAGGGCTCTGGATGCCACCAGTTTTTAGCCTAACCTGAATAGAATGAAGATTAGAAGACAAAGTTTTCAGCCAGCCTGAATCTCTCCAGTGCAGATAGCTTTCCTTCAGCTGAGATTGCCTGATGTTGGGACGTATGTGTGTGTGTGTGTGTGTGTGTGTGTGTGTATGCGCGCACGTGTGTGTGTGTGTGTATACACACACACACATATACATACACACATACACACTAAAAACTGGTGGCATCCAGACCTACAAATGTCGTATCTGGTTATTTAGCTGAAACTGAGGATATTGACATACCTCGGTCTAATTCTATCAGCACAAAGCATAGCAGTTACATCTCTGCTTCTTTATGCAGTAGAACAGCATGCAGTTCTGCACTGAAAGCAATTTCCAAGAAAGGGATCAGCTGCCCTTCAATGCATGTTTTAAAGCAGAGGCTGTACAATCATCTCTTGGGGATGTTTTAATTTGGTTTCCTTTACCAAGAGAAGGTTGGGCTTAATGGACTGAACTGTATTCAATATTGAGAACATTTGCAAGGTATAGTGTCTTAATACATACTTGAAAAGATAATAAATTTGGCCTTTGGCATCCATTTAATTTCACTGGTTTGTCTTTGCTGATGAGATACTCTTGGATAACCTTAGCAAAGAAAAGGAAAAATAAGGCATTCATTATCTGTCTCATTTATAGAATAAGATACTTGAGGGAGATAGCTATAGGATAAGTGCATGCATGACTTGTAAAATTACCTCGGGAAAGGGAAAACCTTCACATGCCATAGCTTTTCTGTAAATAAAATGCACACATCTCAGATCTGCGAATAGCAAAGAAGTCTTCTTTAAGCAATTCAGAGCAAATTATATGAAAACACACCTACTTTTTAATACTTTCCTCCTCTAAGCTTGGTTGCTGCTTTGACTCAGAAGAGTGCCAGTCACAGGGGCAGCAGTAGTCAGCATCCTGGGGCTCACAATATCCTACACTGCCACAGATCTGACATCCTGTGTCCTTATGATCTTTATAAGAACCTACAAGAAAAAGAAAAGAGGAATACAGGCTAAACATTTTTCTTAAAGAGACAAACCTGTCCCATTTTTGTGCATAATGTATATATAATTTATATGATGTATATATAATGGCAGAACTGGCAAAAATGGAGTCCAACTTTCCTTCTGCAAGCAAAAGAAATTAAGACATATTTATTTATTTATTTGACCTATAATTTAGTTTGATTTAGGGTGGGCTACATAGTCCTTTCTCCCCCCCCTCAATAACTCTTCTGAGGTACGTGAGATTGAGGGAAAATAACTGGCCAAAAACACTCAGTGACCTTCCCTGGCTGAGGGTAGCCTAGCCATTGATCACCTACTCTTAGTCTAATAACTACCATTACACTATATTACACTGTTTATGGGAGCAAAATATTACCAGTTAAGCCAAAACCTTTCAGTTTAATGTTCAAGTGGGTTCACATAATGGCTTGCTTGATTTGGGCTTAGATGCTGTTGAACTCAGCCACTGCAAATCATGCTTTAGGCTAGGGCATTTATTCTCCCAGACTTTTTGAAACAGTTACTAATGAACAGTCATCTTTCCAATGTGCATATGGACTACATGACTAAATACAATAATTGTATTAACAAGTATATTTAAAATAAAAGAGTTGTATTGGTCTGAGTTCCTTTGCTTTCTGAAGTAAAAGTCTTATCATATTTATCAAAGTATTCAAATAAATAAACATGTGCTTCATTCAAATATATGATTTAGCAATGAGTTATTTCATACATGAGATTCAACAAATTATGATTAAGAAGATAATGGCTCAGAGTAGTATGAAAATCCAAGTAATAATTCAGATAATTAAAAGAGAAAATTTAGTTTTTCTGCCGAAGTATCTGAATATTATCAATTAAAGACTCAGGAAACTTTTTTGTAACATAATTTAACCTACAGTTTTGTATTATTTGAAGTCCCTGCATGCAGCATCTGGATAATATATTATTTCTTTTTCTAGTCTGAGGGAAATAGTTTATTCTTTTACCTGAAACTGATTTGTGCTTGCTCTAAGTGAGAGAAGAGAATTCACTTATCCAAACTAGATGTTTATCTTTGTAGTTTCATGCCGTTTTAGCATTACAAGTCTTATTAATTCATCATTCTACTGTATGTACAGTAGGCATGAAACTATAGCTTAGTTTGCTGTGGCATCTGACAGTATATAAAGTCCAAATCAATTCTACCACACAGATCTGCTTTGACCACGGGCTGTAATTTTTCTTTTCAGAAGACAGGATATAGTGATCACAGCTCATCACAATGATAACCTATCAGTCTTTACACACCTGAGTGCCCAATTCAAAAGGAGACTTCAACACACAGAACCTCTTCTGAAGCTAGGAACTGACTCACCTGGATGATGGCACACAGAACAGTGAAGTGGTTTTTTAGCTGTTGATACTGGGACATCACCAGATTGCAAATGGTCTTTCCAGGACTCAAATCTAAAACAGTATTGAAATAGTGATGAATATATGGCGCTGAAAAATAATGCTATCTATACACATGATGTACATACATGCACACGTTATAAATCTGAATCATGCAAAGGATTTGCTTCCTGGAAGAAAACGTAAAGGGGAAAATAAGAGACAAATTTAAAAATAACATAAAACATACCTTTGCAGTAAACTCTGTCCTTTTAAAGTTTTGATCAACTTTAAAACCTGTTCTTTTCCTACTCCAGGAACTCCCTTTGAGAACCAAGAGAACAAGCATTTTGACAGAGTTTAGATAAATGTATAAAATATACACTATAGTTTCAAAACTGCCATGGGTTTCAATCAAGCTATGAAATAAATAATTGGGCAAACATTATTAAGACATACGGTGGTGAATACTTTCTTTAGTAATCAAAGTAAAATATGACTTCATGAATGGGTGGCCACATAAGTCAAATAAAGAAATGAATCGCCAATTATTTATGCTACATTATCTTAGCTTTATCGTGCTTTGAAAATGGTCAGCTTTTAACAGGATAACTGATTTTTTTTTTAAAAGTTGGTTTACAGATACGTGGATTGTGAAAATTAGTAAGTATGCCTTTTCCTGAAAATTTGAAACGCAGGAGTCAAAATGACATAAGAGCAGAGACAAACCACTTCAGCAGACCAGACAAGCAGAAGTGAGTCTGGGACTAGAATGGTCAGGTTATATAGACAATGTGAAGATCATTATCTGAAAGTAAATGTGCTAAATTCAGAGGAAAATGGTGGTCTGCTATATCCTCCAACCGTAATCAGAGTGATATGCAAAGAATCTAAAGCATTTCTTTGCCGTTAAATGCGAGGACCATCTGCGATTTTAAGTAGGAGTAAAGGAAAAAAAACAACTATAGTATGATTGGGAAGACAGACGGATAAGCAACGCCTGAGAAGGGAGGGAGGACACAGGGAGTTTGCTGGGAAGCTTGTAGGGATAAAGTCAATGAAGAATGGTGGACCCTATGCTAATCCCTTTGCATTTCTCCCACACCTGACTGAAGCCACTTATGTGCCTGCTGGAGAGGGGCAGGGGGAGGGGAGGAAGGAAGGAAGGAAGGAAGGAAGGAAGGAAGGAAGGAAGGAAGGAAGGAAGGAAGGAAGGAAGGAAGGAAGGAAGGAAGGAAGGAAGATTTCCGATGCTCATGGCCAACTTCCCACAAGAAAACTCAATCAGAAAACAGACAGAAGTTGGGCAGTGCTCCTGCCTCCACTGACTTTTTTGCCCACCATTCTGTTTCTCTGTTAAGATGAGGAAATATTTCTGAAATAATGACCCAAGAGGTCACTGGTTATATTTCTCACTAAATCCAGAGAACAAACCAGTGTCTGGAGAGTGTGCCAAAGTAAGTTATAACCCCTGGATGTCCTTAGAAGATTCAATAGCAGGCAAATGCAACAACAAACAAGAAAACCCTACCACCAAACAAATAAAACATGGGCTAACTAAAAATTTATACTGCTTCACACCAAAGAATATAATTGCAGCTGAGTTTGATTGCAATCTATCAGTACCATAAGAGAGTGTTTTTGGAAATATGTGGTACCCTATTTCTTTAAGGTGGCTCACATCAAAAGCATGTGACAAATGGCTCTCCTTTACATACTGCTGAAATAATATTTTATAGTCAGCATGACTAATGCTGTGGTATAATAGAAGTTGCAGCCCAACAATCGTGTAAGGGCTCACCTCTGGCTTAGATGGTTTACCTTTCATTTTATGTTCACAAAAAACTCTGTAAAGCAGGTCAGTTTGAAAGACAGTGAGTCCTAGCTCTAGAGAAACTTAAAAGAACAAAGGGCAAACACGCACAAATAACACCGACATTCAAGGGGAAAGCAAATACTGTCCCACAAAAGCACACTGATATAAGAATGATATATTGCCACAACCCCAGTGCCATCAGTTACACTGTGACAGGGTCAAGGTAAGATGCCTTTTAAAAAAGAATGTGCAAGAAATATTCTTATGTAACCAGTTGATGGTGTTGCTGAAACAGTTTTAAACTGGGGCACTCTTCTGGGATTGCTAAGAAACCTAAACCAAATTGGCCTAGGGTAAAGGAAGGACAAAGATATTGTGAAATGAACATCCAGCAACTAAGCGCTAAAAAAATGTAATTGAAGCAGATGTGTCAACTTTAACAAAAACACATACTGGGAAGGCTGCTTTTATCAACTCCTCCTTTCATCTGAAAAAAATAGACAGAAGGATTAGGGTTAAACATCCCTTCACATGGAAGAAAACCCAGATAGAATCCAGCGGGAAGCTTTGGCAAAACCTAATTTCTTTTTGATTTGTGGTTAACAGAAGGCTTCAGATCCAGTCATTCTCCCTTCTGAAAGTATGAAATCACTTTCAAGCAAGTGTCCTTGGCATGAAAAAAACATGGTGGCTAGAAAAATAAATCTATTGTACAGAAAACCCACATAAGAAAACATTTAATGTAGTAGAGTAAAATGATTTTAGAACCTCTTCTCCTTCATGATGTTTGGTTTATATTTATGGTTTTAAGAGATGTATGTGCTATATTGTTTTTTTGGTTGTTTTACTTGTTGGTTGGGAGCTGCCCAGAGTATGATATAAGATAGGTAGCTATCTAAATATTTTAAATAAACAATTACACTAGTAACAGGTTTTATTGTGTCTGTCTGTCTGCCTGTCTGCCTGTCTACCTATCTACCTACTTACCTACCTAAATTAGCAATATAAACATTAATGTGATTGTTTATGTGATTGTTCAGTTACCTTAGGAAGATAATCACAGCCAAGCAGAATTGCTAATCCGATCAGAGATTCTCTGCTGCAGCCTAGTTTCTCTTCAATATCAGATATCAAGTAGCAGTCAACATGTGGGTCCTGTACAGAATAGAGTAGGATGGTGATGCTCCCTCTTAAATGTTTCATCATTTTTCATATGTTTACTAGTGATACCGCAACCATTACTGAAAATACTTGTTCTAAGGAAAACTGCATCTTGACAAACTATGATTTGCAGACATTATGGTGCCTTTAAAGAGGAGTTGAATATCAAAAATTTTCTCAGGATCCATTCAAGCAATCTAGGATGAACAAGCTCAGTGTTTCACAATCCTTCTGAGAAAAGGCACACAAAGCAATCACAAATATGTCTATTCAAAATTCAGTCCCACTGATCTGAAAACATATATCCGAGAGTATTTAATATTATAGTTACAAAGAGTAAAGAGCAGTGGTATGGGGAGTGAGGTCAAAATATTTTTCTGAGTAAGACAAAGGCTATCAGAGACTCAGGTGTAGCAAAATTGACTTGTTAGATTACAGAAAGGATAATAACTACATTTATTAATGACTGGAAAACCCTTATAGGACATTTTGTTGTAAAAAGAAAAAAATGATCTTGTGTGATTCATGGGTTTGATTAGAATGTGTAGACTATGGAAAGAAAAAAATTATGCTGTAATTTTAGAGTGGATAAAATATAAATGTACTTGTAACAGCTATTAAGAAGAATGGAAGCCACTTCTTTATAACTTTTTGTTTTCCTTTCCTTTCCTTTTTGTCCCTTTTCCTTCCTTCTCCTCTCTCTTCTGCTTTGTACTTTCGCCCCACTTACTTATCATTTTCCTTTCCTTGCTCTTCTCTTTCAAAATGTGTATTGCTTATTCTTTAAAAAATTATTTAATAAAAAATACACTTCAAAAAAAAAAGTAGCATGTATCAAAAACTGCCCAGTAAATTACCTTGACGTTCATGGTAAAATTTCGATAAACTGTTTGAGCGCCATAAAGGAAGATGTCTCCATCATTGGTGATGCACCCATCCACATAGCCATTTGCATTCAGATAGGCACACATGGCCTCTGCTTCTCCAGCTGCTTGAATCCATGGCATTCCCAAGCACTCCAGCAGTTCAAGGCACTGAAATGGAAAAATCCCATTGGAAGAAGCAATGAGAAATACCATTGGGATGAACAATTCATGGCTGCTTTTCTGCTCCCTTTCTAATAATGTTTGAGGTAGCCAAGACACGTTGGTACGGTTTCTTGACAAATTTCAATGGCAAAATGCATTAAGATTGGGACAGGTTATACAGGTAGTCCTCAGCTTACGGCCACAAATGAGCCCAACATTTAGGTTGCTAGGTGAGAAATTTGTTTTACGACTTTTCTTGCCACATTGGTTAAGTGAATCACTGCACTTGTTAAATTAATAACCCGGTTGTTAAGCGAATCTGGCTTCCCCATTGACTTTGCTTGTCAGGTCACAAAAGGCCCGGGACGCTGCAGCCATCATAAATATGAGTCAGTTGGCAAGCATTCAAATGTAAATCATGTGACCATGGGGATGCTGCAACGGTTGTATGAAAAATGTTCATAAAACACTTTTCTCAGTTCTGTTGTAACTTCGAACTTTGATCACTAAGCAAACTGTTGTAAATCGAGGACTACCTGTACTCCACTTATAAGGTATAGTGTCACTCATGCAGTAAGAAGGTGGTGTATAACTTTGATAAATAAATAAATCTAAAATGTGAAGATATATTCCCCTAAAACCCACTGAGGTAAAACCCGCTAAGGTAAAAGCAGCTGAGGTAAAACCCACTGAGATAAAACCTGCTGAGGTAATCTTTTGAACATTCTTCTTACATACTACCATAATATAAAATAGGCAACCCCTGCAGCCAAAGAAAATCCCTGACTAGCAGAGAATTTCAGGTTTCGAAACCTACTGAAACATAAGCCACCAGCCTTGATGAAGCCGGCAGGAGAGCAGCATGTTTCCAATTAATCCCACCGGATTGCTCTCAAGCAACACAAAAGTCTGCAAAAATTAGCATTGGTTCAATAAAACATATTAAATATTGATGCCTTCTACTGTATGAACCTGATAACTGGCCGTATTCAGCATCTGTAAGCGTAACCCACTGTGATAGCTTGCCTCTTTCAAAATAGATTTGAAACGGGATCTCCCTTTTTTTGCAATCCCAGGCTTTTTCGATGGGCCAAAGCGAGCTTCTATTCTCTTCTTCACTGTGCTGGTTTTCAGTTTTGGGAGATCTCCCTCCGTGACAAACACCAGATGGACCCCCATCAATGTTAAAGAAGAGACACGATAATAAATATTCCTGCGGTAAGAGAGTGAAGTTAAATAGTATACATTATACTCCTCATCTTACATCTCAATAATCAGTTGATTTATTCCCATGCCTAAAATATTGACATTTTCTCCAAAACTATCAATATAAGGAAACTCTGTGTATTCTTGGCTCCCATTGTATCTCCCTCAAAATCATTCTTTTAATTAGAAAACAATTTAAAGGATAAAGGTATCAATGACATGTGCCTCACAAATTCTCAAAGATGGTATGAGATAGTTCATGGCTCTTATTTAATCCACATTGTAAATCCTAACAGCATTTGCAGAGAATGCCCAAGTCCATGCAAAATGAGCATTAGCATATGCAGAATTCTTTCTATGAGCACTCAGTCATCTTCTTCGGGGGCTCTCACAGTGAAATTAATTCATTAGTCCCCAATTTGAAATTATACCATGCCTTATATCTTATATTTTGTAAAGCACCCAAGAGAAGTAATATATCTTATATATCAGTACCTTGTTATCACAAGCATTGTACCTACCTAAGATGCGGGTTTGTGACTATTCCCACCATCTTCTTAACTGCCTGTGCTTCACACACCCAGAGACTTAAATCAACAGCTAATGTTTTTCCTTTAAGACTGCAGAGAGGGACATGTTGCTTGATAGGTTCCAGGATCTGCCACAGGCTAGTTACTCCCATGGTCCCAAATATTCAGATGCACTGCCTGCAAAGATCAAGATGGAGGGATGGATGGAGGGATGCCACTGAAATGATTTAAGACAACTAAACCAACCACAAACTCTCCAAGCAATAAACAATATTGACCCTCCAATCCATCCCAATCTGACACATGCTTGTTATAACATTATAGGCATACTCCTTATGTCAGGGATCTTCAAACTTGGCCTTTTTAGGACTTGTGGACTTCAACTCCCAGAATTCCTCAGCCAGGCAATGCCTTTATTCTGTCCCTATCCCACAAAAGGATGGTGGCAAAGATTTGGGAAAAACATAATACTGAAAATATGAAACCTGGACTACCGATAATGCTTATTTTCAAAGGGTGAAAAACCAAATTTGATCGCAAAGAAAATCTCTCTTCAGTTCCGTAGGATTCAAAGATTCAAATACCGTCCCTCATAAGACATTAATTATTATTAATCCCTCTAAGATTTTTTTAGCAATTACTTGGCAACTGCTACTAACTTAAAAAATAAACTTAGTAGATCAAAATGGAAGAAGTTATTGCAATCATCTTTTTACACTATCTAAAACTGTATTCCAGAAATTGCTATTTCTTGCCGGCATTAGTTTTTTATTCATAATTCTAATATTACAACTGCATTGTTATTTTAAAATCTAGACGAGAGCATGCCAATTTTGATCTAGGCTAGTTTGGTCTAGTGGTTAAGGAGCTGGCCTGGAAACCAGGAGACTGTGAGATCTAATTCCCTCCCTTAAAAATGAAAGCCAACTGGGTGACTTTGGGCCAGTCACTCCCTCAGCCCACGCCACCCCACAGGGTTGTTGTTGTCATCAGGAAAAAAGAGGAAGGAAAGTTATGTATTTTTTACCAGCCTGAGTTACTTATAAAGTAATAAAGCTGGGATAAAAATCAAATACATAAAAATACATGCTATTTTTACTCTTTAAATTAGTTTCTCCCCCTAAATTTTGATTTTTAAACACAATCCAGTGCATGTTTACTTAGAAGCAATGTACTGTTTTCAAAAGAGATTTATATGTGGCACAAAATTACCTACAGATTACTACCCTGCCCTGGAATATTTCCTTCTATAAGCCGCTTAGAAAGGGTTGTAAAGCACTTCCAAGTGGTATATAAGTCTAAGTGCTATTGCTATTCTGCAGGTTTTTATTTCTGACTCTTTCTTCCCTTCTTCAGTTTTTTCCCTTTAATCATGATTCATCCTTCCCTTAATTTTTTAAATTTTATTCCTAATTTAATTCAATAGCATCTTTTTTTCTTAACTGTGTTAAGATACTGACAATATTGTTTCCAAATATCAGACAAATTAGATTAGATTAGATAATCTTTATTCTCATTTTTTCCTGGGGGCACAATGGCACACATTAAAAATGAAATGTAGTTGCTTCCTCTCAAAGTGTACACATACATAACACACATTTAAACATACTATATACAACACATATATAGACCAACACCCTTACATATAAGTAACGTAAATATTATTCACTGACCATCTTGAATACATAACGGAAGGAGGAAGCTTTAGAATTCACAAGATTAATACTGTATGGAACAAAGCTATGACTGAATCTGGATGTTCTGCTTCGGATACCATAGAGTCTTCCTCCAGAAGGTAACAAGGAAAACAGGTCGTGAAGAGGATGTGTGGTGTCGCAGACAATCTTGCAGACCCTGCTCAAGCAATGCTTATGTGCTATGTCCTTAATGGAAGGGAGGGAACTGCCAATGATCTTTTCGACCATCCTCACCACTCTCTGCACTGCCTTCCTGTCTGAAGCAGTGAGGCTTCTCTAAACCAGACTGTGATGCTGTATGACAGGATGCTCTCGATCATCCCTCCGTAGACAGTGGTAAGGATAGGAGAAGGAAGATGTGCTTTTCTCATGCGACACAGAAAATGCAGACGCTGCTGTGCCCGCTTCACCAGTTTCTCACTGTTGAGTGACCAAGTCAGCCTACTTGTTAACTGCACACCTAGGAATTTGATGTTGGTAACCATCTCCACAGGTGAATAATTAATGCACAGAGAAGTGTGGCCGTGCCTGCCTTTTCTGAAATCGACAATGATCTCTTTGGTTTTTCCAGTATTTAAAACTAGGCTGTTTTCCTTACACCAGTTCACCAAACCCTCAACCTCCTTGCGGTAAGCACCCTCATTGTCTTCATGAATAAGGCCCACTACTATTTTATCATATGCAAACTTCACAATATGGTTGGTGGCAAATCTAGCACTACAGTCCTGGGTCAACAGGGTGAACAGCAGCGGACTTAGGACGCAGCCCTGAGGAGAACCTGTGCTCAAGAAAATGGTGTTAGAAATTTTTGTCCCAGCTCGCACATATTGGGGCCTGTTAGTAAGAAAATTAATTCATGTACTGTTTCTTCTTCAATTCTCCCTAGGGAAGTGCAATTTATAGGACAGTAATGTACATTGGATTTAGTTTCCAAAAGATGTTTGGGCTTTCAGAGTAAGATAAACCAGCAGATGCTTTAAGGGTGTTGCAGACAAGTGTCACATGCTCCTGAGCACTCTGTCAATCTAAAGCAGGGGTTCTCAATCTTGGCAACTTTAAGACTTGTGGACTTCAACTCCCAGAATTTTTTTTTTTTAAAAAAAAACAAAAACAAAAATGGGAGCAGTGCCATCTAATGGACACCTACATGTACAGCATTATACCTACAAGAGGAAATATATCTATGCTATAATTCTCAGCCAGTGGTTGGGCAACTGGAGTCATGGGAGTCACAGTACTGTATAGCCCAGGGGTAGGCAACCTTGCCTCTTTTATGACTTGTGGGCTTCAACTCCCAGAATTCCTGAGCCAGCTGAAGTCCAGGAGTCATAAAAGAGCCAAGGTTGCCTATCCCTGGTATAGCCTAATATTTTTGAATGATACTAGGCTGCATTATAGCAAGGAAGAAATAGATAGACCATAATTCCAAAGAGTTTATTTAGAATCATCATCAACATCATCATCATCATCAACAAAAAAAACTACCTTTACCTAGTTTATCAAATTACATAATTTCAAAGTAACTATTCAGGATTTTTCACTGTTAAGCCATACTAATTTTATTAACTGATTGCATTACTGTTGTCTTATAATTAAGCACATTTTACTTAATAATGTGGGTTCTTTTCAGAATTAACCAGAGTCCACTTGGTCCAGTAACAAGTAAAAAAGAAGTGCTCATTTTTCTGAATATTTCTAGCAACTCCACCATACATATCCACTAGTGAGAGATGAGGGGAGATGCAATTATACCATATACATCCCTACTTTAATCCGTCAGAGATCCAACAGTGGATTCCTACATTATCTTGTCCATCTTTTCTCTTCTTTCGCACATACGCAGAAAATGTTGTCTCTTGCTATTATTTACATCTGCATACTCTCACAGTGTTAATCATCACAGTGTCTCCAGAATGAATTGTGAACAAGACCTATCTCCAATTGCTTTTTGCTGGCTTAGTAGAATAGCTGTTTAAGACATATTTTAGGATTGCAGGTAGTCAAGAATTTGGCAGTGCAAAATTCCTGTAATTTTTAACAAAAGCGTCTCCAAATGTGTTCAGTAATCTCTAATAATAACTGAATTTATAAAGCAGTAATGCCTACATCTACTCAAAAGTAAGTTCCAAGGATTGCAATATAATAGACAACAAATCTAAGAATAATCACTGAAAAGCAAGCTGTCTAGGTTTGTATTTTTGTGCATAGGTTTCTACTTTACCAGATTAAAATGGGACTTCAGTTAATATTTTACACTATTTTTTCAAGTCATTGCCAACATGCAACTAGCTGATAATGGCAGAAAAAAAGTCAGATATTTGGAAGAATATGGAATGAAACATCAGGACGGAGAGATAGTGATTTAAATCCTCAAAAAAACTGCCTATAGAATGGTTTTTAATCCTATCACTCTTGAAGAACCTAACAAATTTCACAAGCTTACGATAAAAAGAGAGAGAGATCTAAAGAATTAGAAATAGCCAAAACTTTGGGGCTGGGGTGGAATGGGGATGTGGAGGGCACTGAGGAAATTTATTCTAGTGATATATACACGCTCTTCTTAGAAAAAAACTTAATTTGTACTGGTAAATCAGCATTCACAACTTAAAAGAAATTATATGAAAGACTCCTCTTACATTTTTTAAATTGTTCAGTTTTAAAGCCTTTTCTAAAACCAAGCACAAAAGTTAGGAATCTAATACTTTTAGCTAAGTGCAAAGTTTCTTTTATCTCAGGAGTTAACGGAACTATCGAAAATAGAATAACACTGAAATCTTCTTTAAGTGACAAATTTCTCAACTTCAGAGTTTCTCTTCCTTGTGCTATTCACATCCTGATCTTATTTATCTTGCAAATGGCATTAAAATCTATAAGCTTTCCCTCCCCCTAAACTAATTAACTTTCCTAGGTAGCCATAATGATTTATTTTGTCTAAATTTCAAGAGACTATTACATAGTTGTGAAAATAACAGCACATCAGCATTTGAAACTTTTAGACTTCAGTCTTATGCATGTTTTTCTTTGAACAAGACTTATAAACACAGTGGAGCTCATTTCCGGAAAAGGTGTCTAGAGGTTAACAATCCCTAATATGTCTTTCATTTTTCTATGCTAAAATGCATAATATCAAGAATCCCACTTGATTAATCTAATGATGCATCTAAACAGTATATTGTTTCCCAAAGTCATTATCTAGATGCTTCTAGAAAATTCACAAGCAGAATTGCTTTATCTTCTCCCCCAGCATCAGATAGTGAGAGATATCTCTCCCAAACATAATGGTTCCATTTCAACACCATGTTGAATGCTAACTGATAAATCTGTCTTTCATTATAAATTTGTCACAAAAGATTTTAATTATTTAAGCTAAAACCCATAACCATACATGCAAAATAATCTGAAGTGAGATGTTTGTGCATAGCCTGTATTGCCCTGTTACTGAGGATCACTAGATCTTAGTTCTGTGATTTTGAAAGAGGAAAAAAAACCTTCACTCTCTCCAAAACACATAATCTAGAGTAATCTGGTTTAATCATATTTCAAATGGCTTTTTTTCTAACTTCAGTCATTTAGTTTTTTTCTTCATAGGAAAGATCCTACGCTCATTTGGTGGTCCAGTTTGCATCTTTGTAGCCATATGCTATTTTTGAGATGAGGCAAGCAGAACTGTCAGAGAATGGCGCATGCAACTATAGTTTCCAAAAAAATACTTTCAGCTTTTAATTCTGCACTCTCCTTGATTTTGATTAGGTCCAGTTCTATTTTAATGGCACACATTATTTAATTCTATTTTTAGTATATCTTTTTGTTTTGTGAGTAGCCAAATAACATGCTTGTGTGTGTTTATGTAGCCAGGAGAGTACCTTGTTTCTGTTGAATCAGAAGGTATACACTAGGGCAGGGGAGGCAACCTCGGCTCTTTTATGACTCATGGACTTCAACTCCCAGAATTCCCAGTCAGCATAGCTGACTCAGGAATTCTGGGAGTTGAAGTCCATGAGTCATAAAAGAGGCGAGGTTGCCTATCCCTGCACTAGGGAATTCAACTGACCATCTTTCGTACAGAAACCAATGAGAGATAGATATCTAATTAAATTCCTTAGAAAACACAACTCTTTCTCCTCTTATAGAGAGAGGTTTCCGTTTTAGGCTTTTGTGTTTGTCTCCCAGACAAAGGCCATTTTTATATTTCGCTGTGGCGTAACCTTATTCCGTTTTTCCTCTCCCATCATCTACATGCCTGGCAATTTTTGTATCAGATGCAACGGATTAGATTTCACAAAGGGTTTCCTATGATTTTTATATTTGCTTTTAGACATGCAATCCTATGGACGATTATGTCTGACATAATTCTGACATTTAATGGGACTCAACTCCGAGATAAATATACAGAAACTGTAATCTAGCACCGAATCAGACTCAATCAAAAACCTCTTGCGATCTCTACAGCAAGGCAAATCTTCCTCCTGGTACCTCAACACGACGGTTCCCCCGCCCGTACGCGGACAGACAAGGCAGCGACTTCTCCAAGCAATAGCGCCAAGATTCGTAATTCGGTGGGGCCTTAACTGCGCTTGCGCGAAATCATGACGTCCGGAAATGGGGTGGGGCAGAACTATTGATCGGAGAGGAAACACATTCCATAATATTATTACGTCATTTCTGGTTCTCAGCGGGATATGAAATAGAAATAGGTTTGGAAACCATAGAGTAGCGTCTTTCAATCTGTTTTCTTCTGAGAAGTGACACTATATCGAACGCGAGTCTTTTGTCTATCTATCCAATCACCAGGCGCGGAACGCAATTCGACGTTCCCCGCCAATGGCGGCTTTCAGGCCAGAGCCAGCCATCTTCCATTCATGCAAATCGGCCTAAGAAAGCGAAACTGACGGAGCAGTTGGGAACTGCGCATGCGTCCCTGGCAGTCGCCCCAAGGATTCAGGCGCGCTTCGGCTGCGGGGCTTCGAGAGGAGCGGTGCAGGGTTTTGGAAGAAGAAGGGTGGGAGGCGGGAGAAGGTCCCCGCGCTTGGCGGTTTGCCTTACGGGAATTTCGACAGAATCTTTCCGAGGCTTCCAAGTAAGGGCGCGAAGGACGGCAGCCTTTTCAGGACTCCCTCCGAGGACAGTCCCAAAAATCCTCTTGCCGTGCCCGAAGGGGTTGGGGAAACGGGTTTGGCCTGGGAGGTGGGGGAAGAGCTGGATCCAAAATGGGCCCGAAGAAACCAAGGGATTGGATTGGAATGGAGCTCCGTCCTCATTCCAGTTGCATTTTGCTCCCTGCAGGTGAAGGGTAATTCCTCTTGTGCGAGGACGGCAAGGCAAGAAAAGGTCATATGTCTGCTCGCTGAACTCCAGGCGGAATGGCTCTGCCCATCCTAGCCGCATAAGATGGGGGAAAGGTGTTGCCTGCCAAGGCTCGCCTTTGCCAGAGCTTCGGGCGAGGGAAGAAGGGGCTGAGAAAAACGGGTCGGGGAGAGGACCCTTTCCCCGAAATCTTCTCAGGTACGCGGCTCCTCAGCTTGTGCTCTGCCGCCTGTGCAGAAAATGAGTTCCCTCGCATCTCTAAAAGTTTGCACCCAGATACACTAGAAGTAAACCACGATCAAACTTAGGGAGTAAAAATGAATGAGCCTCGGCTTCTGGTGGTGTTTACTGGCCCTTCAGTTGCGCGTCCTGATTGGAGCTAGTTGCCGCCTGGTAGGACGGAAGTGGAAATGGTTTTTTTTTTTTTTTTTTTGAAAGAATGAAAACAAGCTTCCATCTTTTTTTCCTTACAAAGGAAATTTTCTCAGCAGGAGAAAGGTGTGATTTAAAGCAAGTAAAACCATTTTTAAAATTTGGGGAATGGATTTTAAAAGGGTTTGGATTTTTTGACCCTCCCTCTCCCCCCTCCGGTTAAGCCTTTTTGAGACATTCTGAGGTGGGGATTTCCTAAACTCTTAAAGGACCAAGTAACACGAAAAAGCAGTATAATGTCAGATTTCCAATAGTTCCATTTGTTGTAATGGGGGTGGTATATTTAGGCTATGCCATAATATAATATAAGCTTCATTTAATTCCATTTATATGGCTGTTAGCAGATGGCCGTGCCCAACTGAAAATAACAAGTGTTGGAAGCTAATCAGGGTTGGGGTTAGTTAATACTTGGATGAGACACTATTAAGGAGTAGTAGGAGAACTAGTGCTGTAAAACTAGACAGGAAAGTTGAGGAAATATGCAGCTTGTTTCTATTTGTTGTCCAGAAAACTATATGGACGTGTTCGTGAAATCACAGGGGTTGAATTCAACTTGAAAGTTGAATTATGAGTTTTTCTGTCAATTTTTAGTTATTAGAAGTAATCATCCTGTCCATTTTAAAGGTGATATTCAATAAAAGCATCAATCTATATCTTTATAAATCAAACTAAAACGTAATAGAATAATTAAAAAGGAAGCCAAAGTCCTCTAAAAAAAATTAGCCCATCCAAAACGCCCCAAGAGACTGAGAAATAAAGCTGTATTAATGCAGTTTAATTAAGAAAATTAAACAAATTGCGAATGGAATTATGACTGATGCGAGACATTTTCATATTATAAAAATATAATAAGTTTTCAAATATTGAAAATGAAGCTGACTATAAAAGTTGCAGACAGTTCGGAGGGACTGGGTACCAAACCTAGCTTTCTGAAGTCTTGGAGAGCTGCAGACTATCTAGTAATATCACAAGAAGTGGTATGGCTGACATTTGTTGGCCGTTTTCAAAAAATTAAACTATTTTATTTTAGAGGATTTTAACAGAAATAGGAGTAAGGCATTTTTTTTAAATCAAAATAGTGAATCCCTTCCCTTACTAAAAATGTTTTGGTGTGTATTTAAGTGCATTTTAAAAGTGAAAATCTGAGTGAGACCTCCTCCAAAATCTGAAGAAAATTATTTAAATTATGCTGCTGAGACAGAATTATTTACTGCCAAATTTCAGGCGTGACTCTCTCTTGGGGGAATATAAGTTGACCACTTGGGGGCCGCTACCACAAAATATGCATACCGATTCATAGTTCTTTAATTGTTTTAAAGACTTTTTCTTTACATTTATGACTTTTCTGTTTAACAAAATGTAATTAAAGTGTATTTCTCTTCATTCTTTCAGAATAATTCCTGATCTTTCCCTCACTGGGAATTATACAGCCAGAATTAAACACTACAGGGAGCCTTTAATTTTAATTCAGCATTTATATAGCAGTTCTTAAACTTATTCCACTCAGATCAATTGTATTACCTTTAGCTGCATTCTGCCGGGTTTTTTTACAGTTATGCATGGAGTGAAATAACTTTTATTCAATTTTTGCTTTTAGTGATGGCAAAAAGAAAAGAAGACCGTTTTTCAACACCAGTATCCAACAAAAGAGCTAGGCAAGAATTCATAGATAGCTCTGATGAAGACCTTAGTGACGAATGCTCACAGCTACAGAGTGAAAGTAGCTCCGATTTGCAACCGGTAAGCTATAAGTGCAATAATATAATTTTGAAACTTCTTGAAAGGAAAAATGAAACAACAATCTTAAGCGTTAAAAAAAACCTTAATTGGTGAAGTGATTAGACATCAAATTAATCATCCATTTCAATTTTTTATACATTTTGATTCAGCAGCGAGCAACTTGTGATTCTCCAGTTACTAAATTAAAATTCTAAATATGCTTCACTATTAGCCATGCGAGTACAGGCATTGGGGCAATATATGCATTATGACAGTGTCAAAGAGCAGGTTCTGTAACTTAGGTACTTGCGTACAGAGTTGGAGAAACGTCCTGACAGTTAGAACAATTAACCAGTGGAACAACCTGCCTCCAGAAGCAGTGAATGCTCCAACACTGGAGGTTTTTAAGAAGAGACTGGACAGCCATTTGTCCGAAATGGTATAAGGTTTCCTGCCTGAGCAGGGGGTTGGACTAGATGACATCCAAGGTCCCTTCCAACGTTACCATTATGATGATGATGATGTCTGTGCATACTGTGCAAAATCATCACTCATGTTTTAATTAGTTATCAGCTGAACTGAGAAAAATGACAATCAGTGGCATTAAATGCCAGGATTCAACTGCTGGTATTTAATAGCAATAGCACTTAGACTTATATACCGCTTCACAGTGCTTTATAGCCCTCTCTAAGCGGTTTACAGAGTCAGTGTATTGCCCCCAACAATCTGGGTCATGCCATTGTTTTTTTGGCTTTGGTTTTAGCCTTGACTGTCTGCATTAAATTTTAACAGAAATCTAGACTAAACTGAATTTTGGAAATTGTGTATAATTGGTGTTTGAATGCCATGCTGAGAGTTACACTCTGAACATGGGGCCAGCAGGGCAAAATAAAAAACTACATTTTGTTAATGTAAATTTCCTTATGATTATTCTATAGATTTCATTTCCTCATTTTTTTTTCACATTAAAACTCTATTAAAAACATCATTTTTCTCTTCCTAGCATTTTCTCGCAAGTTCAAGGTCTGCATTTTTCAGATCAACTGACTGTTGATATATTGGTTATCTGCCTGTTGCCAAAACCTGACATCTGCTGAGGGAAAGTGACTGGGCTAAAGTCACCGAGCCAGCTTTTATGACTGGGGCATCACTGGAATTCATAGTCTCTTGGTTTCTAGCCTTAACCACTAGATCTAATTAGCTCACATTAAAATTGCATCGACATTTTTAGAAGATACCTTTAGAGCTGTATTCAAGGCTTTAAGAGTATACTAGTGATTATGGAGCCTTAAAAAGCAATCTGAGAAAAAGCAATATAGAATGATATGTTTTTAGACTTGACATACAGTATTCTCAAAAATTTAAAAATGTTGAGGATTACAGTGCCAGATAAAAGGAAAATTAGAAAGCTCTAATATTTCTGTTTGAGAGTTACATATGAAAGGTCAACTGTTGTAACCATGTATATGTTGAAAAACACAATCAGACAGAATTGTTTCCAAGGTTCCTGCCACAATAGGGATTTTTAAACTCTGTATTGGGCATTCCTGGTGGAATACAGTTCCCCCCCCCCCAAAAAAAATATAAGGCTTGTGGAGGGAAAGTGTGATTGCTGACAAAACACTTTAGCCTTTGCTTCACAGTTTCCTGTATAAGCATATAGTAAGCAGTTGCTATGCTACAAATTTTAATAATTTCTCTAATGCACAAATTAAAAATAAGTGATATATTTATTTTTGCCCAATTCTAATACCAAAGAAGTCATTAGGTTTTTTTAGAGGAGGTCACATACATTCAGTTATTTTAGAAATCTTAGTACCACAGGGTTTCAGAATCACTCAAACATTGTGCTGTCAGCATTGTGAGGTTTCGGGGCTTTCTCAGCTTGTGTAGAAGAAATTTGTGATCAGGATTTTTTTTAGCAATTAAAATGTCTTTCTGATGTACTCCTAGGTCTCAGGGGAAGTTGGAATAATTGAAAGTATCCAGTTGAAGAATTTCATGTGCCACTCTATGTTGGGGCCATTCAAGTTTGGATCCAATGTCAATTTTATAGTTGGAAACAATGGAAGTAAGTTGTAATTCTTTAATCAAAAACAATGCCATGGTGTTAACTTTTCATTTGTAGGTATGCAGAAAATTTGTAGTAAACATTTTTTTTTG